GAGCTATCAGCCCCAGGAAGTCAGGCCAAGGCCCCGTGGGCCAATGTCCCCACGTCCTTGAGAGCCCTGTGGCCCCGGGCTGATGCACGCAACTGGACACTGAGCTCCACGCCGGGAAGAAGCAGGCTCTGTTCCCGAGAGACACTCGGGGAAAGCTGAGAGGGCCAGGAAAGGCCGTCAAGGACAAGCCCGGCTGTCCTTCCAGGCAGAGAAAGGGCACTCTGGAGGCTACCGTGTGTTCAGACTCCGAGGACCGGGAACAACAAATAGAAGGAGAAACCTAAAGCTCAGCGCTACAAGACAACTTCAACAAATTGCATTTCCAGTGGTGCCTGACAGAAGCGAGGCAAAATCCCTCACCAGGAGAGCAGGAAGGCTGAAGTTATTTTTAAATGGTTGTTTTATAAGGAAATACAGAAGGAATACATGAGAGCAGAGATTCAAGTCAGCACATGAATTTGTAACACCAAAGCATCCAAAAGCCAACACTCTCGCATTTACCAAAAACCAACCACCTTTTCCGATATTTGTTGCGCCTGCTTTATTCAAGCACGACAGCCCCGCAGCCTTGCTTTGTCTGCCAAGGCCAGGCCCGTTTGGTTTAGTGGATATTGTCATGGCTTAATCTCATCCCCGAGTCCACGGTCCTAAACCTCCTGATCCCTTCTCCCCACTCCCAATCTGGCCCGGCTGGGAGTCTCATTAAAATGCTTGCCTGATTCACCTCTGGGAATAAACTGCTTCGTGAAAACAGACGATGCAAAGGAAGGAACATGGGGTGTAAGGGACTCATCAAGTTACTGAGCAAATCCCCAGGTTACAGCACCTATGTTTTCACTGTTAGTTTTACTTCATGCCCAAAACAGGATACGGTGGGGTGTATGGGGCACTAGTGGGGGCAGGCAGGTTGGTTTGTGGGAAATACACACTCCAGGCAAAGCCCCACGCCCAGAGCCCCTCAAAAGGAGGGCTCACGAGGGAACAGAAGGGGTTGGGTGCTCATGGGGTCACAGCCTGCATGGAGGTCTTAACAAGCATCACCTCAGAGCCCAGAGTAGGGCAGCCTATGTCTACACCATTCTCAGGGACCCCAAAATTACAATGCAGCCAAGCAGGATTTCTGACAGACAGACGTTCCCCGGGGCGGGGGTCTTCAGCCCAGCTCCTGCCCAGCAGGCCTGGGGCCACAGCAAGACCTGAGGACTGGAGGGAGCTTCCCAGAGGTCACCTGTTTGACCTTCATCACCCGAGCCACACTTTCGTGTCCATCTAGGCCCAGGAGCACTTCTCCTACATTCTGCGGTTTCCGCCCAGCACACACCACTGTCCCGGGGCCCCTTCCTGCCCTCCCTCTCAGGGGACCCACCCTCCCCACTGTCTGCAGGTCCAGGTTCTGAGTATGTGCTGGTAAATACAGTGTCCCCATGTTTCCAGAGGTGACTCAGTCAGCTGACATGGGAGTCCCCGAGCAAGAGAGGAAAAGCACTGGCCAAGAACAGAACAGCTGAGGTTTCCTGGATGCCAAGACTTGGGCAAGGGAAGAGGAAATGGGAGAAGCCTGTGTTCAAAGGACGCTGTTGACAAGCACATTCGCTTTGTGGACGCCTAGGTTAAGCACTCCCACAGGAGCTGTGACCTCCCACCAGCTGCAATAACAAAAGAGCTGCTTTCACAAACAATATAAATATGACCTTTTAAGGTCAGACACCGGACCCATACAGAGAACTTTCAAAGAGAGGAAATAAATACTGACACTAAAAATACCTCTGCAGTGTCCTGCCATGAAACCCCCCTGGGCCGGACCCCAAAGAGCAGGCCTTGGGTGCTCTAGGTCTGGGGTTAGGGCAGCCCTCCCACCACAGCTCTGACTCTGTGGCTATTTGTTTGCCAGCCTGAGGGCCACGTGGACTATTCAAGGTGAGCCCATTTCCCCAGCTAATGCCCAAGTGACATACTCGATTTCAATTGCCTTTCAGCTACATTTAGTCTGGATTTGTCCCCACTGAACAGAACCCTCAAGTATAGGGCCACAGAACCTTTCAGTGCACATGTCCTGAGAATGCTGCTACCTCTGGAAAGGGCTGTTTGTGGAGGATCCAGTCAGTCACCAAGTCCAACCAAGTGTCTCTCCAAATGCTTCTCGAATACATTCTCTCAACTGTCATCCAGTACAGCTCCCCCAGAGACCACCCCTACTGAGAGCCCTGCCAGGTGGGATCTCAGGACGAGCCACATCTCCATTCTCAACGCTCCTCCCAGGATGAGGCACCTCCAGAAGATGGTGAACCACCAAGCCTAGCCTCAAGCAACCAGACAGCAGTGCACTAAATGCCCAAGAAGTAAGCCGCTCTGTGGGGCACCCAGCCTTTGTAAGGAGGTAAGAGGCGGCAGCACACCCATTCATTCCAGTATCAAGCACCTGCAGCGGAGGGCAAGCGGTGTCTCCCTGGGAGCCCCCACACCTCACACAGGCGTGGCAGTGGGTGGGAGTTGGCCCGGTTCCTCTCCCGGCTATGCCACTTACTGACCAGGTGACCCTGGCCGAGTTAGTCCTCGTTTCTGTGCCTTAGTCCCCATCTACCACCGGGGGCGAGGCCGGCACCTCTCTTGCGGCTAGCCGGTAGAGTCGCGGCGCCCAGAGTGGTGGGGTGTGGGACTGGCCTGTGAGGGTCAGTACAGGGGGCGGCCCGCGGGTCCAGCCCAGTCCGGGGAGGCCGTGCAGGCCCCCAGGGCCACGAGAAGCCGCGGAAGCGAGTCACCAGGCTCCACATCCCCGTCTGGTGGGCTCCCCCCAGCTCTCAACTGTCTGGGGGACGAGTCCTCTGAGAGTCGACCGAGAAAACCGCAGTCCAAAGACCCCGATTCCCGACCGCGGTTGGCGCCACGTGGACTACGAGTCCCGGCAAGCCTCGCTCCGCCGCGCGATGCCTAACGGGAGCTGCAGTCCTGCCGCCGCCGCGGACCTGCACACGGGCGCCCCGAGGACTACAAGTCCCGTGAGGCCGAGCGGCGGACCGTGAGGCTGTTCTCGAGGCCCGCGGCTCCGCCCTTCGTCCTTCCCACCGCCCCCGCTCACCGCCCACGCCCACGCCCGAGCCCGCTGCTCAGGCCGCCTATTTAGGCGCCCGGCCCCCGGCTACCTATGTCGATGGCGAAGCGTTTGGCGTTCTCCAGGTTACGGAAGACTTCGTCGGGGGGCAGCGTGATGCTCTTGTCCAGGCTGTCTCCGCTTCTCCCGCCGTCACTCGTTCCACACTCCGCCATTTTGAAAGTGCCCGGCCAGCCTCATCAGCCATGGAGATATATGCGCATATATTTGACGGCTAAGCGTCCCGTGCATAGATTATGCTAATGAGGCTCCCGCCCCTCCAGGCCTGTCTCCGCTGCAGGGACACCGAGGCCAGTCCTAGATAGGAGTTCTGAGGGCCAAGGCTGCGGAAAGACGGCCGTTATCCTATAGAGATGAACACGCAGCACAGAACATCTGGATGTTCTTGTTCTGCCAAGCTGGCCAGATGTTAACTCCAGTGTTCTGAGCCTGTCAGAGGGCTTCCAGGAGACCACCTGGGTCTGCGCGGCTGCTGTGAGGTTGGCCCTGGCCTCTGCTAGGGTGACTCACCATCTTGTTCCCCAGGGGCGTGGGACCTTCATTGCCAAAAGTCCCATGCACCTTGGAAGAGTTCAGGACCCTGCCCCACCAGTGGCTTGTGCACCTGCAGCTGGAGAAGATGTGCACCTGAATGGCAATCTGAGGGATTCAAGGGGAGCAGGGAAGGCTGCCTGGAGGAGGGCACTTTCTGGGGAGACAGGAGTCCTGGAAGGCTGCAGGGGGCAACAAGCGGAGGTGGGGCTGGGCAGGGCTCCAGGGTGAGTCCCTGGAAGAAGATTCTGATGAATCAGACAGCAGATGCTAAGGTGGCCTCAGCACCTGGGCAAGTGGATTTGTGTCTCTGACCCTTGGCCTCTGCCTGCAAGCTGAGGTGTCCCTGGCTGTGGGGCCAGCTCCTGTCTTGTGGCAAGACTCAGACAAGGCTGCGGGGAAAGTCAGCCTTGCACATGCCCTGGGTAGAGAAGAGGGGTGAACCTACACCGTGTTCAGGAGGACACTGCCTTGGTCACTGCTGGACACCTGCACATGTTTTAAGAATGCAGAACGAATGGGGACACTCTGTCCTCCGATCACCAGCCCCAGGGGCTTGGGGCAGGCTCTGGGCTGACCAGAGGGATGCCCTGCGTAGATACTTCCTGCAAAGTAGACAAAAAGGGACAGAGTTTGGAGGGAGTGAGACAGGAAGAGCACAGGGCCTGGCCCAGGTATGTGAGTGTCATTCACAAAATATGCAGCATACCCAGCTCCTTTCTACTGTGCTCGTGGGAGCCAGGTGCCTGGGGGCTGTGGTTCTGGGTTCCTGCAGACTCAACCAACATGCTGCCGCCTGTCTAAAAATAGGTGCCCTTTCCCAGCACGGTTCGCCCCTGGTAGGTTCATGGCCAGCACCGCCTGATTCAGCAGTCCGGCTGCCTCAGAGTCCTGTGGACAAGCCAAGCAAGTGGCCTGGTCGCACCCCTGGGGACAGGTGCTACCAACCAGGGGCAGGAGCAGGCGTTGGCGGGCAACAATTTCTCCCATTTGACCTGGCTCAGCCCCTTTCTGCTGTAGAATTTTGCCCACCGTGGCACCTGGATTCCTCCCAGTACAGAGCCCAGGCCCTGTACCTGCCACCCCCACCCCCCACGACCCATAGGGAACCAGTGAAAATCTGGGGTTAGAAACCTGAGTCTGTACAGGGAACCACTCCTGCCGGCTGCCTGTCCTCTGCTTTTCCGCCTCTCCTCCCTACCCCCCCTTTCCGACCCATCCTCCCTGTCTCCCTCCCTGGGCCAGGACCCAGCCCTTCTCCCCACGCAGGCTTGGCTGTGGCCCATGTGGCACCCACTCCCCTTAACTCTTGCAGAGCCAGCCCTGTGGCTGCCCAGGACAGATGGGAGGCGCAGACGGCGGAGGGGTTGACAGATTTTATTAGAAGCCTTCGTAGCAGTCCGTGGGCATCCACGGGACCGAGCGCTCAAATTCTAAGTACAAAGTGTGCCCACATGCGCCCACCCACACCAAGGAATCCTGTAAGGATTGTAGTGCGGACCCCACCCTCCCGCCAGCCCAGAGTGAGCCCACCCATCCGCCCATGAGGAACACGAAGAACTCTGGGCCGAGCACACGCAGGCTGAATACCTTCCTATGAGGATACACCTGGAGTTCCGCCTTCACAAAAGGCAATGTGCCCACGGCACGCCCGCCTGCGGGTCCGTGCCCAGCAGCGACGGGCCCTGAAGAAAGTCCTCTACAGGCTGGGACGCCGGCAGGCCGAGCCCCTGGCCCTACAAATATCATAGAACCCCCGCGGCCGGGGACTTCCCAGAAGTCACTTGCTGAAATGCAAACACAGAACAACCCCACGGGGTCAGAAGCTGGGCAGGAGATGGCCCTGATTGTCCTCAAACGACACGGCTCTGCAGGCGGTGCCTTCTCGGAGAGTGGCCGGCCCGCCAGCCTGGGGCGGGGCTTCCAGAGAAGGGCGCCGCCGACCGACGGCAGGTGGGAGGTCACCAGGGCCGCCAGAGGCCACAGGCGGAAGGGCGAGCGGCGGGGGAGGCCTTGGAGGAGGGGCGGGGGGGCGGGGGTGCAGCGCCGGCCGCGGGGGGCTCTTTGGCGGGCACGGCGGGTGCGGCGGGGGGCCGCTGGAAGTGGCAGAGCAGCTTCATGTGCGTGTCGCTGGCGGCGTGCAGCGTCAGGAAGTGCACAGCTTCCTGCAGGCACCACGAGTAGCCCTCACTGTAGTCTCGGTGCAGGCTCTTGGGACCGGCGGCCGTGGCAAAGGCTGTAGGGCAAGCAGGGCTGCGTGAGCGGGGCCGGGAGCCGGGCAGGGGCGTGAGCGGGCGCAGGGCCCGAGCGTGGGGCGCAGCTCACCCTTGCTGTGCTTCAGGTAGCTCACGGCCATCTCCAGGATGTCCGCCTTCTCCAGCTTGGAGTTGGGCTGGTGCCGCGCGAACTCCTGCTCCAGCAGCAGCTTCAGCTGCTCGATGCTGCTGTTGATGCGGTCGCGGCGCATCTTCTCCACCACGGGCTTGCGCAGCTGCGGGAGGAGGGGGCGTCAGCGAGCGGCCGGCCGGCGGGCGGGGCCGGCGGGCGGGCGGGGACTCGGGCGCCGCGCACTTACTCGGTTCTTCTCCTTGGGGCTGAGCAGCTCCACGGCCACGGTGCTGGGGGCCATGCTGGCGCGGGCGAGCGTGGGGCTGGGATCCCGGTGGCGCCCCGGCCGCGCGGCCCCTATATAGGCGCGGGCAGCGGGCTGGCGCCTGGGGCCCGGGCGCCGCGGCCGTTCCCACACTCGGCGGCCAATGGCAGCGCGGGCCGCACAAAGGCGCCGGCCATTAGCGCACGCTAAATTGCCTATGAATTGGCGCGGGCACAATGGACGCTCCCCGAGGAGCAGGTGGGCCGCGCCGCACAATGTCCGGGCTGTGGGAACGCGCTCGCCCTCATTAGCATCCCGGGGCCTGGCGCTGGGAGCCCGCGCCTCAATATGCTGCCTTTTCCCAGGCCGCGGGCGGGGGCAGGAAGGAGCCCCGCCGCCCGCCCCGAGACTCCCCACCGCTGCTGGCAGGCCGCGCCCGCGCGCTCGCTCTCGAAGATGAGGAGCTTGGATTCTCCTTGAGCGGGCCGGCGGCTGCCGAGATGGGCACCCACGCCCTGGCCCAGACCTGCTGTCCCTGGGAAGGGACGGAGGCGGCCACACTTCCCCCGACAGGCGCTCCTGTGGTCCTGACCACAGGTGGGGGGCTGAGGGCTCTGGGCTCTTAGGAGCAGCCCTTCTGCCACCCCAGCCGCTCACCTGGGACTCTGACTCTCTGTGCCTCCTGGGAGCCGGGTCACATGAGGTACCCGCGTATCTCTACAGGCAGAGGCAGGGCTGCTCTCCTACTCTCCTGCCCGGGGTTGACCAGAGACAGCGTCCTCAGAGCAGGAGGTCTGGGGAGGAGGTCTCTCTGTGGTCACTGGTCGTGCGTGTTTGTGGGTAGCTGTGGCTGCGCTTTGCCCTCTGTACAACCTGGGCCCCTGTAGAGCGCTTTCCTCTGGCACATTGCCAGTGGGCGAAGTAGGGTGCCGGGTGGCAGACTTGAGGGTCAGAGCCCGCCAGGCCGAGCCTGCCCTGGTGTGTGTCGGCTTAGGGGGCCCCTGGGCCCCTTGGGGTGAACTTATAACCCTGGTCCCTGTCCAGCTGCGTTGAGGGCCAGCAGGGGCTTTGGGCAGCCTAGGGAGGGAGACCTGGGTGCACCCACGCTCTCACCTTCTGAGGCCAGGAGGAGTCCAGTTGTCCTGCAGGGGCTGCACTGCCTCCTGGGGCGGTGGGGGCCTGGCCCTGGGCACCTGGGCTAGGGTGTGAACCCAGGAGACAGGCTCCCCGGGAGGAAGGCGACCATGCCCAAGTGCGCCTGGGAGGTGCAGGCCCTAACAAGGGTCCCGGCAGGACCGTGCCCCGTTGTGGCAGTGACCAATATGGCCTGTTGGGGGCCTGGCTCAGGAGCCCCTCAGCATATGGAGCCACGGGTGGTCCCCCAGTCCGAGACAGCAGGCTGCCAGGGGACCCGATGATGCACAACCCCAAGACGTTCAGTGGAACCATTTTTGCAGCCCAGGCCATTTTTGAGAGCCGTGCTGGGCAGTCCCATTTGGGTGTGTCCTGGGGCTGAGCTGGGGCAGGGAGGGCAGGATGCTTTAGCCACCTGTGGCCGTCACCCGAGCCTTGCCACCCCAGAGCCCAGCACCAAGGAGGTGCTCAGCTAAGAGCCGAGGGAATGCGGGAGCATGGGACAGAGGCCTGACCACAACCTCCACCAGCTGGACACAGGCTCGGAGCCCACCAGTGCCCTGCCACCGTCTGGCTGCTGGCAGAGACCCAGGGCTGTGCCGGATGTGGTGGGGGGTGGCATGCAGGCCAGACCTGCGCCCCAGGGTTTGGAGGGGGCAGTTGGCTGGGTTGTGTCCTGTCCCGGACCCTCCCCAAGCCAGTCCCTTGGCCCAAATGAGACGCGTGCCGGGAGGGAGATGCGGTCCAGCCCCCATGGCCCCAGCTGCCCGCCCACCCGCGGTGGGCTGGGATGGCAGTCTGCTGGAGGTGAGGGTGGTGGGTGGGCTGTCCCCGCTGGAGCAGCTTTGATCCAGTTTTCAGTTGTGGGAAATATGAAATGAGTGGCGTGGAGCCCTGGCCGGATGAAAGGCCGCCCCCCCCCTCCGCCCCCGAGTGCGGGCCAGATGGCGGCTCGGGCGGTCCCCGAGGCACACGCCCGGCCTTTGTAGGCCGCTTAGCACTGTGAATGGGGCCACAGTGTGGGAAACTCGCTGGGCTCCTGGCTCACACCGACCCGACCGCTGCTGGAGCCGGGGAGGGGAGGGTGCAGGGTGGTGGGCTTTGCGCGCAGCGGAATGGGGGCTGGGTCCTCCGTCCTGGCTGCCTCCAGCAGCTTGGGGTGACTCGGGGGTCCCGGCCCCAGCTGGGCTGGAGGAGGAGGGGTGTTGGTCCTGGCTGCGCTTCCAGAGCCCCCATCCTGGGAGGCTGTCCGGCATTGAGGCTCCCGCGAGCACAGCACACTTGGATGACGCTGTGAGGGGCTCCACTCTGATGCGGTGATGCCGGCGTCCATGAGCCCAGGGCCCAGGCTGTCTTGGGGTCACCGACACTCAAGGACCACCTGCTCTGGCCTGGGCTGGCTGCAAGCAAAGTGCTGGGGCGCGGGGGTGGGGCAGAGAGTGCTCTGCAGTGGGGACGTCACACCAGTGGCACTGTGCTAAGCCCTGTGTTGGTTCCCTAAAAAATCGAAACACAACTACCGTGCAATCCAGAAATTTCTCTTCCCCCAAAGAGCTGAAATCGGGGCCTCAGCTAGGAGTCTGCACACCCATCTCGGCCCGTATTCACGGTAGCCAGGAAGTGGCAGCAGCCCGCCTGTCACCAGTGGAGGGAAGGAGGGAGAAACCCGTCTCTCCACGTGTGGGGATAGAGACTGACACACACGGTGTCCATGAGGGCCTCGGGGACAGGGTGCCCCATGAATAAGCACAGCACATAGGACGGGCCCTTGCGGCTCTGCTTCCGGAAGGGCCTAGAACTGTCGCATTCACAGGCAGGAAGAGCTGGGGTTGACGATCGTTTCGTGGGCCAGCTTGGGCTCAGGAAGATGGGAGTGGGTGGAGTCGTGAGTGTAGCTGATGAGCAGAGTGGCCCTCAGGCGTGGCAAGGTGGTCACACTTTTAGATCGTGTGTATTGTGCCACAGTGAGGGGACAGGGACTTCTGTCACGGACACCCTCTTGTCCCAGCCTCTCCCAGGATGGCAGCTTCTAAGTGCGCTTTGCTGCTGGATGGACCTCCCGGAGGGGACACTTCTGCCACTCCTGCCTTGCTCCTGCCCCACTTGGGTGATCACGTGCCCTGTGCAGGCTGAACTGCTGTGTCTGAGGAGGCGCCAGGCTTCTGCTTGGGGCCCAGAGGGTCTGCTCTGGGAGAGGAGGGACACCCGGTGGCTCCCAGCTCTGCCTTCCTTAGACCTTGGGAGTCCTTGCTTAGGGTGAGTGGGTGGACAGTCCTCCCTCGGTGGCCAAAAGCCACACTGCCTAGCAGGTGGGGCAGTGGCCCTAGTCCAGATTACGAGGACGGTGTCCCTCATGTCCAGTGCCACTGCACACTGAAGCTGTGGCTTGCACCCCACAGCCATTCAGTACCTGGCCCACAGAAGGAGCAATCCCTCTAGCTGCAAGGTGACACCCAGCTCCTCTTCCTGGGTGGTCTGGGGACAGCTCAGCCACCCCAGCCTGCAAGGACAGTGGGGCACTGGAGGAGCATTGGCCTGGGCAGGGCAAGCACCGGGAGGATAGCCGCAGCAGGAGGCCATCCCACGAGGGCAGTGTTGGCCTCACATCCAGCCCGGGCACAAGGGGCTCAGAGGTCAAGTGGCAGCTGAGCCGCTGCATCCCCACAGACTTCTCTAGGAGCTCGGGGGTGGACCCCTCTATGCACGTGCGGCCGGCACAGAAAGTGCCTGGGCCTGCACCGCTGGGAGAGCTCGAGGCTGGGATCTGGACCTGCAGCGCTGGGTCAGCTGCTTCCCAGGCTGGTTGGGAGCTGGAGTGCCGTCCTGGGTGCTGCCCTGGCACGGGGAGGGTGCTGCAGGGATTGGACTGGGAGTGCCTGCTGCAGATGTTGGGTGGCCTGACAGACGGATGTGGGGCCAAAGGGCAGACACAGTGTGGACATGGCCAGTGAGGCGACGCGGCCCCTCTGTCACCAGGGACGTCTGGGAACTCTGCAGGGGGTGGGGGCGCCCTGAACTGCTCCAGCCCTGCCCCGTCCTCCATGCTGGTGGCCTGTTGGGGTCCCTGCAGCCTCCCCTATTCCAGGGCCAGACTGAGGCCTGTGTGGCTTCTGCCCGGCCCCCCGCTTCCTTCCCCTTGGTCAGCAGAGGCCTGGGCATAGGCTGCAGGGGACAGGCGTGGCCCGCACTGGGGGAGCTCAGAAAGCGGGCTTGGGAAACCCGTGTGCACCATGAAGTGACAGTGAACAGCTGGCCGGGAGGTCCTCACATTCTCTCACCTCTCGGGTGCCCGGGACCCCAAAAGTTGACACAGTTTGGGGCCTGAATTTGGGTAGTTTTTCTTAGAGATTTTTTTAAACTTTGAGATAGGGTCGGGCTTAGTTGCCCAGACTGGCCTTGAACTTGTGACCATCCTGCCTCAGCCTCCTGGGTAGCTGGGATCACAGGCCTGCGCCCCACACCCAGTTTACTGGCATAATGTTTAAAAAGGCTTCCACACACACCATGCACCCAACAAACACATGCACGATACACTCAGGGAAACCCACGCGCACTGTGCACACACAAACACACACACACACCTGCGCCCCCACAGTTGGCCGTGAAGGGGCCTCGGGAAGGAGGCTGTCCTGGGCATCAGGAGCACAGCAGACCCTTCCGCTGACCCCAGGGCGGGTGGGGGGCCCAGCTCAGGGGAGGTTCCTGAAGCAGGGTGCACTTTCCAGGCAGGGGTTCGGGAAGCCCCTTCTGGGCCGAGGGTGGCAGGACATGGGCTGGAGCTGAGCCGCCATGACAGCCAGAGCTGCGGGCACCCGAGTCCCCATGTTGGCCAGAGGAGGCTCTGCGTGTGCCTGCGCCGGTGCATGAGTGTGTGCGTGTGCATACTAGTGTGCATGTGTGTGCCCATGCACGTGTGTGCGTGCCAGTGTGTCCATGTGCTTGCCTGTACACGTGCCGTGGCAGGTGTGTGCTTTTGCCTGTGCATCTGCCTGTGCGAGCGAGGCCACAC